TCGGCTAAAACTGCATTTACATTTTCGTAATATTAATTTTTAAATTATAACTGCATCGATGTACATTAAATAGAATACATGTATGTATTCGCTGTTTATATTCCTTCATTGATGAATTACCATTCAAGTCAATAAATAATTCTCGAAACAGATCTGGCAACACTGTTCATATTTTTTAAATTTTAATTTTTCCCACTAGTAGTGCTACGGTCGCAAAATCGGTACAACAGGATGTGACACGAAAATGGTAAGGTTATGTCGACCTTATTACCATGGCCGTGAAAATACATGGTTATGCAATGTCTATTCATATACCTCGTCTGTGGCAATTGTTTATTCGTATAAGTTGTCGGTGGTCCAGTCTATGCCGTTAGTCAATAGTTTAAGCGTAGAATGCGCTAAAAATCCAATGATTTTTTCCTAGTCGATATTTCAGACTCTGAGACACGAAGTCTTTCATTTTATGTCTGATCTTTTCTATCTTCAGTCAATGATAATATATATTTTGAAGGTTATGTTCATTAGCACAGTTTGTAAACAATATTAAAGGTTATTGTGATGAAAAGATTAAGTACTTGATAACAATGACAAAGAGTGAAGAGAAATGATTAACGTTTTATTTTATTCTTAGAAATTCGACTGTTGCAAATTGTCAATGCACGTAGGAAGCAATAGTAAATTTTATACAAATTCATGTGATACATAATTTTATTAAAATGTATTTAAATTTCATTATTACTTTTTATATTTTTCACGTAAGCTGTGCTTGGGAGGTTTGTATTGTAATTTAATATTTTTTAAATGTCTTGTCATTATCGTGCACAAAAACCTAACCTTTACAGGTACCGGAAAATTTCGCTAAGACGGGTCATTCAAATAATTGGGCAGTATTGGTCGATACTTCACGATTTTGGTTTAATTATCGACATGTAGCAAACGTGTTGTCAATTTATAGAAGTGTTAAACGCTTGGGTATACCAGATTCTCAAATTATTTTGATGATAGCAGACGACATGGCGTGTAATCCAAGGAATCCTAGACCAGCTACTGTCTTTAATAACATTAAACAACATATTAACGTCTATGGAGATGATGTAGAAGTAGATTACAGAGGTTATGAAGTTACTGTAGAGAATTTTGTTAGATTATTGACTGGACGATTAGCACCAGAGACACCAAGATCAAAGAAGCTGTTGACAGATGAAGGGTCTAATATTTTGATTTATCTTACTGGTCATGGTGGAAATGGATTTTTGAAATTCCAAGATTCTGAAGAAATTACTAGCAAAGAACTCGGAGATGCATTAGAGCAAATGTGGCAAAAGAGAAGATACCATGAAATTTTATTTATTGTCGATACTTGCCAAGCAAGTTCAATGTATGAGAAGTTTTATTCTCCAAACATTCTAGCAGTTGCTTCTAGTCTAGTGGGAGAAGATTCACTTTCTGTGAGTAACAGATGTTATATTCTATTATATTCTATTATCAATATTTTTTTAAATGGAATATTATCTCTCGTTTTGTTTACAGCATCACTTGGATCCTGCCATTGGTGTTTACATTATAGATAGATATACTTATTATGCGTTGGACTTCCTAGAAAAAGTAGAACCTTCTAGTTCCAAAACTCTGGGAGAATTTGTAAGTTATACATAAAGCAATTTTTTAAAATTAAATTTGTATTTGCTGCACGAACTAATGCATTTATTTTTTTAGCTTAAAGTATGTCCCAAGCATTATTGCTTGTCAACGGTAGGAGTAAGAAAAGATTTATTTAGAAGGGATCCTGATAAAGTACCAGTCACAGATTTCTTTGGATCATTAAGGCCTATAGAATTAACTACAAGTATAATGAATGTTTTACCTGTGAAAACAAACAAGACAAAAGCTATCGAACCAGAAACGAAGTATTCTTACGTTGCACAATTCCCAGATGTATCAAAATTTACGTGATTTACAGATATATGATAAAAGAATGTAAAACAATAAAATATATGTTAATAAAAGAACGTATTTCCTGATACTTGAACTTTTATGTTATCATTTTAAATGTATTCAGCGAATTTTATACACGTCATACATTCACAATATACTGTGCAATCATATTTTTTATCTCGAAAGCATTAAAGAGGATGTCCCCAAAAAGGTCATGAGAAATAACTCCAAGAATCATTACATTTCATATTTTTGATTAAATGTTTTTCTTACGAATCATTCATACAAATGTTTTGTAATTCAACAATTCTAGTTGTGTAATCGTTTTATCATTATAAGTCACGTTATAAGCATATAAGTCGTTAATGAAATAGATACATCAGTAAATTATGAGAAACTTCACCTCGCTTTAGAATGAAGTAAATTATCTTACGATACCAGGAAATGAAAGAAAACATTTATTAGCAGCGTCAGCAATTGAAGTATTAAACATTTCTCTGTATTATTTACATCAGTGGGCTAGATTTGCGTAATTTCAACTGTCGTATAAGTTCTGTATATAAGTTGTACATAAATGCATGATCCAGTCATACAATAACGAATTAGTGAAACGCGATTGATAGTGTCGTGTGAGAATTTTAATCGATTTAATTGTCACAAACGTAATATTTGGAAATCATTGACATTCTCAAGTCCTGTAATTTCTATCAAAATTAGTATTTTGAACATATTTAGTATTTAATAATAATGGTAAACAAATTTCGATTTATATGCTATAAATTTTATTTTCTTTCCGCGTTCTGTTTATTTTTCAAATTTTTTCTCATAGAAATAGTCAATTAATTAATGATTTCTTTTAATAAAACTTGCATGCGTATGTAGTCTTTCAAGCATAATCTTTCTATGTAAATTAAAATGTCCATAAGCTAAAAATTTACTATATACTATATACCATATACTTGTTTTTTTTTAGATGAATTTCTTCAGTACTTCGATAGTCATCTTCACGTTATGTACTTTGTCATTCACCAAGTCGAATGGGAAATATGTGCAAGTGTACCAGATAGGTAAAATGAAGCAAGAACCACCTGAAGATCCTGCAATTAATTTTTTTGCAACTGAACCTGTTCCACCACTGCTTCCCGTTTGCACGAATACAGGATATTTTAGGGATCCTTTCAATTGCAAGAAATTTTATCATTGCGAACATGCGAAAGCAATTCCGATAGGTTATTACTGTGAAGATAACTTAATATTTAATTCGCATACTCTTTCATGCGATTATCCCCAACGCGTCATTTGTTGAACGAACATTTATATAGGTTCGAAATTTTTGTAAAAATACATTTAAATGTATTTATTGATTGCGGCTATATTTATTGATTTTAGTCTTTAGTTTAGTAGAATTATAAATAATCTATAGCCTTAAGTTTAATATTGGTATCTATCTATGATATCGTATTGTGTTACACTATCATTGCATTGATTATAAAAATCGGGATGTTATTATAAAGCGAAATTATAAATAAAATATTACATTCTCGTTTTTAAAGCTTCGTTAAGAAAAGCTTAAAATATTCTGAAATAAATTGTTTTAAATTAATCTTGGATGCTCATAGGAATAAGAAATCAACGAATACAATGAATCATGATTTTATTTGTTATATAATAATATCTACAATAAAAATACCACATCGTTTGAAAAACAATTTTCGTTACAATTATATAGTGATTTTATATAATAATATAATATTTAGGTTTTCGTTCCAAATAAGATGTAGCGATGAACATACACCTCGCAGTGGGAGTGAGAAAATACATTTTTTTTTTTTTTTTGTTGCAAATTCCACATTGATTTCTTCACTCAGTGTTATTTTTTTTTCTTTTTCAGCTTTTTTTTTGCAATACGCAACGAACACACTCGAAGTGGCACCACGACGTAGTACGTATCGTCTTTTTATTATCGCATTTTTCTCTCGCTTATTTTTCGTTCGCACTTCCGGTGATTATCAGGATGAAAAGATATACTTCTTCCAGAGTAGCCGTGTGGTGTAAGGAATCCGCTTCGAGTGTCTCGTTCCTATCGTTTTCTTTTTTTTCTAGTTTTTGTCTGTTTTTTTAAATATTTCGCGTCGCGTGCGCGTTGGCCCGCCTTCTCCGCCGTTTTTTTACTGTTTTTTTATCTTTTTTGTTTGTTTGTTTGTTTGTTTCTTTTGTTTTTTTTTTTTCATTTAGCGAGATTTATAGAAATATTGGACTAGAGTAATCCAACCTTTTCCTATCTCTCTCTTGTAACGCGAGCGTCCACCCGCCTAATTTTCTTTAACTACACTTAGTTAATAGTACCGTAATGTCATCTCA